CCCTCGCTCCCCCGCCGCCCTCGGCTCCTGCCCGGCCGCTTACCCTAGCTCAGCCCCACTCAGCACTATCTGCCCATCGTTTTGCTATCAACGCCTTAATAATTATATCTCATGGCTTACATGCCGCTTTGCAATGATATTTTCTTGATTTAAATCGTCCCTGAGAGTGTGCAGTGATTTGGGGTAGAGTAGTTTAAAGGTACAACAATGGGGAAACGGACAGTGCTTCATTTCCTCAGGCGTTTCAAAGCACTCCAGTTCTTTGGAACTGGGGGAAAATACAGGCTTCGGATTTTGTTTCTCATATTTAATTTAATTAAGGGTAAAAATCAACTGGATTCCAGCACACATATGGATATGTAAAGGGACCAGCAGCATCACCTGGGCAATCAGTTGAATCAGGAACACTGATTCCACAAATATCAGCTAAACTTTTATTTTATGGTTTATTGGAAAGGAAAAAAAAACCCTGCTGGATTCTGTTACTTTTTACTCAAAGGTAAACTGAGAGTAACTCAATGAAGTCTGGAGAGAGGACAAGAGATGTTTGGAGAGAAGGAAGAACCTGCTAATGCAAAAACATTTTCTAGCAGCAATCAGCGACTGGTAGAGATTTAGGAGATGGTGTGCAGGTTATCAGCACATGGTTTGATTACAAATTGTGCCCTTTACCCTGACAAAAAAAAATACTTGTGCGCATACTTAGTGGCAGATCACAGAATCAGGATCTGGTCATTATACTCTTTCTTAGACACTAATGTTTCTGGGAAGAAGAGAACAGTAACGTCTGTAAAAGAAAGTTGCTCCTGTCGTGTCGAGGAGCAGCACGGCTGTGAAGGGAGCCCAGCTCCAGGCAGTCGGCCCACCACTGGCCGAGACCTCCAAAGGGCTTGCGAGGACTCAGGCAGGTTCAGGGCAAACAAAAAGCAAATTGCAGTTAGTTATTGGGAAATGCCATGGACCCTGCCTCGCCACATTTTGCAACACAGGAGGAAAAAGAGTAGGAATTTTCACCAAGTTTGGGGACAGCAGCCTTAACCCATAATTGTCTTTGTTAAAGTTTGAAAATGATGCAAACAAGAATACACCCTTACCACAAAACAAATCCCCCTCAAAGCCTGTATGTCCAAAAGCGGAGGGTAAACAGGCGAACAGACAAGGCCATGCTCCCTTAGTCTGAGTGACACGAGCTACAGTGTTGTGAGGTCATTGCCTGACATCCAATTTTGCAGCAACTTTGCCTAAATTAGGCTGCTTTTTTCTCCAGTACCTATTTTAATGTAAGGAACACTGATGATTATTTTCCTTCTAGTTTCCGAGCCCACCATGAAGAGACTCGTGGTGCTTTGCGACTGCCTCTGGGCCTGGAGCCTCCTCCTGAATGCATTGACTGAAAGAAGGTGGGGGAGATATTTTTTAATGCACCAGTATATTCTGGGAACCTTTAATTTAATACGGCAGCATAAGACAGAAATATTGCATAGGCTGCACTACTACTGAGTGTATTGGGGAAAGTTAATCCCTGTTCAAATCCCAGCTAAATCTAAATAAGAGAAGATTGAACGAAAACTACTGTTTGTTTGCATAACATTTTTTTTCAGTATTGTAAAGAAAATAAAACAAAAGCTATCTGAAGCAAATTAAAACTAAGCTACCTTTTAAATGCCTATGCAATCCTTTCGCCTCTTATATGATGACTGTTCAGTTCTTTTGATATTTCAAATGGGATGCAAGTTTCTTGAGAGGAAAAAAAGTGTAATTAAGAGGGACTTATCTATCTGTTTATTGATTTATTTATTTAAGTGCTATTTACTATCCTTATTTTCCCTGAAAGCAGAGGCAAAACTTTAACTTTTCAGTTGGGTCAGGATTGGGTCCAAACTTAGTACCTGCTCTTGTAAATCCAAACTAGCCCTTCCAAGGGGCTGCTAGGCTGAAAAGTCGTGCACGCAAAGCCCATAAAAGTTCATGTGTTTGAAAGACCATCTTGCACTGAATCCCTACCGAATATATGTTGAACTTATGCTTTCAGATGAGTATTAGTATCAATTTGTAATCATGTAGCATCTCATCTAATAACTAGCAGGTGAACTAAACAGTATAAGATAGATTGGAATATACCTGAAGTAAAGTACTCCGCAATTCCAAATTTAGTAAAAGGGTTAGTGAAAGCTCACAGATGCATTTCCATACCTTAAAGATATTAAGGTCCTGTCAATAACGCTACCTAATGACGACAAAGTGCTAGAAGAGGTTTTGGACTGTCAACAGTGATCCCTAAAGGATATATTTTGTACCTTGGTATCAATAGTGTCTTCTCATGCATAGGCAGCTCCAGGTACACTTATCTCCTGGCTTCCTTGCAGAATTTAAACAGAGTGGAGGGTACAAGGGGCCACCTGCACAACTGCTCCCTCTAAAAAAGATAAGAGTAATAGCAGCTGATTCGGGTAGCTTGATTGACATATTGAATAAACCTGCCATTTTAAAGAATACTTTTATTTTGATGATATATTGAGAAAGGTAAGAGTTTGAAGTACTCATTAGCTACTTCATCTGGCCTACCTAAAGAATTTTGTGAAGACTTGTTTAGTTATATACAAATACACATACACATATATATATGTATATATAAAATGTATGCATGTACATTTTTAATGTGCAAATTAAAATGCCTTGGACTAGTGTTTAAAAATTATATGGTGTGTCACTATTATAATGACCTGTAGATGGAGTTAGTGCACAGTGTTTTATTATACAGTGGTTTTAATATGAAACCACAATCACATACAGTAACTTTGACATTTTCCTCAAAATGTACACGCCTTACATGAAATATAGCTGGCTTTGAAGCCATTTTGCCATAGTAACTTCTTGTGCCTTTACTTCTGGAGCGCTGTTGATTCTTCATTACAAAAAACGATTGATGAATTAGATAAAATGACTACAGTGTTTCCATTAAATTCTTCTTGTCATAAAAAGACAAACATTCGGGCTACTTTAATGAGTGTTTTGATTGGAAAATCACAGTCTGTATGGAGTCAGAGTATACTTTATTTATACATAAACGTTCAGATTCTTCCTGTTGTGACCGTATGTCAGTTGAGAGCAGCCACATTCACCTCTGAAAAAATGGTAAGAAGAACAGGTAAAAGCGCGGAGGGAGGCGACGCCCGGGCTGCAATCAGGGTATCGGACTGCGGCCCTTCGGTGCACGCTGCCTCTAGTCCTTGCTCGTACGCCTCTCCTGCAAACACGCTCATGTGTTGGTCCCTCGCATCACTAAAGTGTTTTTTAATATCCTTCTGCCACTTTAACCCTGGTGACCTTTCACTGTCCTTGAGATATGCATGCACAGCAGCTTGTTTACTGCCAATAAGTGTTAATATAGGATTTAATCTGGAGAAGAGTCCTTAACTGCCATCCTACCTAGGACATATAGGAAAAGATCTTTTAAGAGATACTGCAATACTGCATGCTGGAGGCAGCAAGATAACTTGTTATTTGGTAACATGTTGGAAACGTAAAAGAAAAAATATGAAAATATTAACATCCATAACTTAAAATATAACTGTTGGTGTATAAAAACAAGTATAAATCAAACTATTTTTAATAAGTCAAAGTATACGATATGGATAGAAGAAATTCGGATCATTTTGTTTAGAAACTGTTAGAGATACTGTCCTCTTCGTTAGAAACCATAACTTATATGCATTAAAAAACCCTGAAAACTGTTCTCCAAGCAAACCTCAGCCTATCGAAATAAAACAAAAGTTAATAAAACTCTGTGAGTGTCAGTTCTGAAATGTGTTTAAATTTGTAGCATTAATTATCCAGATCTGTACTGCAAAATAACCTGGAAGCATTTCTTTCCTGCAATACAAAAAAAAAAAAAAAGTCCTTTAACCAGAGTGCCTTTCCTCCTCCGTTCTCTGTTTTACGCATGTGGGATGCACACAGCATGTTGAACTGATGTGGCTTGTGGAAAAAAACTGTAGGTATTTTAATAGAGCCGGGTCACTTCACATATCCCCGTATTCCCCCTAGGACAGCCTTTGCTGGGCAGAGCAGGCGCGCCGGGGTGCGCCGGGGCCCCGCTGTCGCCAACCAGCCTGCCAGTGGGAAAATCCCGCTGGGGACTCGTCCGGATCCGAAACAAAGGGTCGGACCCTGCACTGCTTATCCAGTTCAGCCGTGACATGTGTGGCAAAGTGCTGTTTTGGAAAGCAGTGGTTTTTGGGTTCAGTCACGATGACTACACGTGTTTGTAATGGAAGTTTTCCCAGTAATGAATGAAAAAAAGATAATGGGTTGGCTTTAAGGCAACTGTAATGTATGATTAAGGGAATTATCTGTGACAGGGTATTCGGTAAAGGATTCAGATTTAAGAAAAAGGCTGATTCTGATCTCCTTTACAGCAGTCAGACACTACTATGCCCAAGAACCAAATCTTGGCAACCTTTGGCTGAGTTAGTACTATCACAGTAGGGATCTGTAAGTGAAGCTTTACAGTGATGAAAGATTTCCATGTCAACAGATGGTTTTATTGCATATTCGTATGGAAAAGTTGGAGGCGTTCCTCCAAATCTAATCACTAACAGAAAATGGGAAATAAAATGAAGCAAAATTATATATTGGTCTGTGTAAGTATACTGTTGCATGGTTTTCTTCTGTACTCAAAAGGAAGACACCTCTGTATTTTTTGTTTTCTCTTTGTTTTAGCATATGTTTTCAATACTTAAATGTCAGTGTTTCAAATTGTGTTCTTCTTTGTATGCAAACCCTTTATAACTATTATAAATTAAATACATTATCTTTTGCTGATAAATGAGCCTTTTACTGAGAAATACGTATTAGAATTTTGTAACCTTTACTGAATAGCGAGATAAACATTAAGGAACTGAAGTTCTGTTTGCTCACCATTTGTAAAGTGCAATGGTTTCCTAAGCTTTTACTAAAAATACATAATTTAAAAAAATGTTTAAGTGAAAGGACACTATAAAGTGCTACAGTCTGGTTTTGTGGAGGAGATTTTGTGACCATAAATCAGTGTAAGCAAGATTAAACAGATTTTGGAATTAATGTTTGGTAAGGTTATTGGCTGATTACTGTTTTATAATGTGAACTGTTCTATATTTCAGCTATGGACAAACCTCACTGCAAGATGAAATTAAAGACAACACCACAGTATTTACCAGAATATTGGATCGTCTGCTGGATGGCTACGATAACCGCTTGAGACCAGGACTGGGAGGTGTGTTATGTTATCATTCCCTAGGTTACGAGTTAGAGAAAAAAATTAGCTTAAATATTGTTATTTTTCCATGTTATACTTGCTTTCATTTAGTTTATAGATACATGAAATAATGTTGATACACCATATCCAGTTTTTCAGACATGCCATGCCTTTCTCTATGTCTCATATACTCACTTTACACACACACGTCCCAAAAAGAAGAGTCAACGTTCATAATTCAAGAAAAATGCTTCATGCCCACTAAAATTTTGAATCTATCGAGAATAAAATATAATAAAAAAATGAGCTGTGACCTGACAAATGACAAAAGTTTATGAATCAGACATAAATGACACATCTAAACAAGCAAAAATCCCACTGACTATTTTCATAAGAGGATTTGGTTCTAAAAGTGAAAACATCAATCAACCTTAGTCACATAAAAGTCTCTGAGAAGCCTATAGGATTTTTTTCTACTGAGGTATGTCAGGGTTTGTTTCCATAATATTTTGTCTTCGCAGCTTGGTAAAAATGTCTTTCTCCTTCTGCTCAAGGTGCTGAATAAAAAAGTGTAGAAAATACGTAGCGGCGGTTTCTTTGTACAAAGGCTGCTACAAAGCCCAATGCCAAGAGTCCAGGTGACTCGGGTCTGTCCTGCAGGGACACGGCCCCACGTCGGCTCCTGTGCCGCTGCTGTGCACAAAGGTGGAGGTTCGCGATGTACAACCACCAATTGTTCCTTTAGCGCACTGACAGCTTGGCTTTGCTTCTTCTTTCCCATGTCACCTATTTTTGGTCTTTTTGACTCTCCAGGTAAAACAAAACAAAGCAAAACTCTTCCCCCTCCATGTATAGTTCAACCAGTTTTTATATAACAGCTCTCAGGAGCATTGTATTATATGGAGAACAGTGTGTTACATTAAGAGGTCTTATATCATCTCCTGGGGATGAAAAGAAGTACAATAAAAAGTAAGCTTAGTTATTCTGTGTTTTGAGGCCACCATCTTGCAACAATTCTTGAGTCGTGAGCCAGCTTCTTCCATGGTTTACCTTCACTGACTTTAATGAATGGCTGCAGATAAAATCCTATTTATAAAGTGTTCTTTAAGAAACACATTTAAGACTTGGTTGGTCTGTAAATTTTTTGGTGGAATTTCAAAATAATTTGCAACAAAGTAAGAATCACTTTTTGGTTTCATCTACCAGTATTTTTTGCCTGCTTTCTTGTAAAGCCTTGGATTAGCCTACAAATAAATGCTCCTTCATCTTTGATTAATACAGCTGTAGAATTCAGTCAGCTACTACATCTGAGTAGATAAACATAGCACAGATGGCAATAAATAAATGAAACTCTGTAAACTGTGTAAAGTCTGGTATGTGTCTACAAGAAAAATCCAAGCACATTATGATTTCTTGTATGAGTTTTGTAGCTATTATGATTTGTTTTACAGTTACTAGAAGAGCAAACAAAAGGAGATGCAGGAAAAGGCATTTCTCTCTTATTCTCTGCGTAGCTATTTAAAAGCTCCTAAGCACTTCACATTAAGTGTGAGAGAGAGCTTTTGGCGGAAGCTTGTGTGTGTGTCTTTATAGACGCATTTTCTGAAGCCAGACTTCTAGGGCATAACAGAAGAGTAGGTCTGCAAACCTCTTGAACGGATCACCCAACCCAGTTTAAATTTACTCCTGATACCGAGATTGCATAATGTAACTGCTTCGATAAGGGGAAATGACTCTTTTCACAAACTTAATAGCTACTTGCATTGCTAGCAGTTTAAAGCAAAAACAAGCGCTGCAGGGGAGTATAGGAGGGGGAAGACAAGACTGGAGTAGTTTTACTAACCAAAGGTTAGAGAAGATAAAATCGGCTTTGCACATGCTTCCTTCCTTTCTTGAATTGAGCGTTGCATGTTCCTCCCTGGCGCCAATGATCTGGAATATCACAATTTCCTTATCACTCAGTACAGTATAGTTTCATGGTGTCAGTTTAGCAGAGTAAATTTAGTTTACCTATTATATTTCTGAGCTCAGAATACTAGAATTAAACATACCAGAACTTCCAAAAAAATTCCACATCTGATTTATGGGCAGCAAATTCATGTTTAAAATCTAGTACAGAAGAATGTGTTATACTCTTTTGACTACTGGATAATGTGTTATTTAAAAGATATAAACTGTAGATTTTAAAAACTAAAGACAGACATCTGGGCCAGTGTTTTCAAATCTGATGCCATTTTATAATAAAGGTTTTGCTTGGGAACTCTTCTTTACAATGCTTTCTTGTTGAGATATCTAAATATAACCTAATAACCTCAACATGAGGCAATTTTGACATATTTGATTTAGACACTTTGTGTAATGGGGAAATATATTCTGAAATGGTCTGTACCTAGAAGTAACCGCTGGTATGTCTAAATCAATATATGCCATGTAGCATGGGTTTTAGCGATGGAAGTTCAATAACCTTCAGTTGTTCTGTTCGCTTGGGCTGCGAGCTTTAAATGTGTTTGCAAGAATGATGGTTTCGTTTTGCTCCCAACAAAGCCAGTGATGGTTTCTTATTAAATATCTCAATTAGAACAGGATTTTTATGCGCTCTAAAGAGAAAGTTAGGAAAGCTAGCAAAGCTACCAGTATAACAGTGTTTTATGATATAGAGAATTAGGACTAAAACTGATTCATTCCATATAACCTATGATGCAGCTATGAGAGAAATTATGCAAAATCTGTTGATAAATTTTACACTGTGTCAAGCACAATATAAATCTGTGTACCATTGACTACATTATAACACTCTATTCTAATTTTCCAAAGTTGTCTGCCATCTTCATTCAGTGCTTTCTGAGAAACAATAGATGATGTAAAACAATACATGATACCATTCTTTTCTCCTACAGAAAGAGGTACATTGTAGAAAACTCTCTACTTTCCCCTGTAAAACCTCTCCTTATACCCTGCAGCTTTCCAAATATATACATGTACAAAACCCAAAATTCTGTACATGCACAGAAACAAAAAACAGAATGAATTTCTCTCTCTCTCAGCCGTGGAAGAAAAGGTAGTCAGTCAGTTTATTTGTTTCGCCTTCCTTATGTGTGTGTGTATGTACAGAAAATTCGGTAACAAAAAGGCATGGTACAAAAAAATAACGCGATAAAAGTGTAAAAGAGGTGTGATCTTCAATAAATTTTCTCGCTTCTAGGAGCAATTTCCTCCCTCTCGAGATAAACCCCACGGTATTTCTCTATGCTGAGTTTGCAGACTTCCTATTAGTGGGGTGAACAGTTTCATGTAGGGGTGGAGGAGATCTCCATGGCAGATGAGGCACCATGAAGCCAGCTCTCTCTCTTGGCGAGCTCTCATCGTAAAGATACATTGTCAGACCTATACTATATATTCATTGGCAAGCCGGGTTAAAAGGGGGAGCATTCAGCTAATGAAAAATTTAGAGGTGCAGAATTTTGACCCACACTTTCAGCATGGGTGGAATCAGTGCTAGGTTGATATTAAGTCCTCCCTCTTATTTTTTCAGATGTTCTTTTGAGGTATCACTTCAAAAGGAGACTGGGAAAGCATATATGCTCCATCAGGTGTGGAAATGAAAATTATTATTGCTCAAATAACCCAGTAAGGCCATACGTGAAATGAACTGAGCAACTCTGAGAGTTCTGCCATTAAACAAAGACGGAATTATTTTTTTGTTAGAAAGAATATAAAAAAGTGGAGTAGGTGACCCAGGGAGAAAAATAACAGTTATTGAATATGCTTATTATTTTTTTAAAAATGGCATTGTGGTAAAAATGTACCTTTTTATTTTGAAGAAACAAACAGCAATATGTTGTGGATTGACACATTTGCACCTGTTATCGATAATTATTGATATAAATTATGTTATTTAGATGTTTGCCTCCTTCATATGTGGGCACAGTCACTTAGTCAGCCATCGCTAGGAAATAAGCATCTGTTGTACCCATCCATAAACACGGACAAATAACTACATTTACAGTTATTTGTGCCTGGAAAATAGAACTTTCAAAACGAATGTAAAAACATTCTGAATCACTCCAGAGGATACCTATTAACTCTATGAGAGGATAATCATTTACAAAAAGCAAGGAGGAGGAATTACATAGAGTAACACGTTGAAGCTGAAAAAGAGGAAATCATGTTAGACATTAAGAGAAAAAAATAAACAGTGAAATCATTAAGGTAACAGCATAATTTTCTGTGGGAGCTGTCTGGATCTTAGAACTAGGGATGATCAAAAATAGACCAAATAATAAAGATGCTGTGCTCTTTTCAAATACATGATCCTGAACAAAATAAAGGATCAGATAGCAGTGGAGAAGAGTCAAACACAAAGGAAAAGTGAAGTCAGTCTTTGGTGACCTCTCATAGTAGGTTACTGTCTCTACGGTGGGAGTTTAAAAGCACTCAAAAGCAACAAGAAACAATGGAAAAAATAAGTTTCTTGGGTAAATGAATATGCCATTGACTTTTGTTCTGGGCTATCTTCATGTGGCGAGTGGAGGTGAGTCCCAAACGCTGTGCTGGCTGGCTTGGTACCTCGTGTTGTGGTTTGTTAAGGTGAAATCAGCTGTAGTGCCAGATTTTAGGATCGTCACTTTTGTACTGGCACAAATGTGCTCTCTGAAATGAAAGGATATCAAGTGGTTTGTGACCTTTTAGCTTAGAATAATTGTAAATGTGGTTTATCCCTTTGAGAGGTGCTTTTAGTGGAAAGACAGAAGACTGTTAATACAGAACAGCTGAGAAGAGGAAGAAGCGTGAGTTTCATTAGGAAGATCAGAGCAAATCTTCCTAAATGAAATAGCTTTTCATTGTTGAGTCAAATACACATTAGATCATCCCAAACAGATTATCAACATTACTTCAGTATTGAACAGAGTTATGCTTGTTTTGTGCTGTAAGTGAAAGCTATTTGTTGATCTCTCCTGTGTGATGTATATCAAAATTGAGTGTGACTATCCTTAAATGGAATACGGGTCTATCGCAAG